ATCCCGGGATTGCGCTAGAATGTCGACTGCCTTATCAGAATTCAAGAAAGATTCACCAATCCCAGAGACGAGTATATGCGACGTTCGATGATTCAAATTTAATTGGTTCGCTAGGCGAGAAATTATGAAGTTTAACTAAGACGCCGCGTCTAAGACTGCTCGGCAAGCCACAAATTCTCCAGTCCTATTTCTCACATATATAATAGCGGTTGGAAGCAACACGTAATGAATATTTGTGGGTTTTGGTTGAGGGTTTGGTGATGGGATGAATGGTGATCAGGTTGTGATGATGAATGTGAACATAATATTAATGCTGATGAAGATAATGTTGATGGCTGAGAGTTTAAAAGTGGATCGGATGATAGTGATGAGACTGAGGTGGATGGTACGGACAATGAGTGGTGCTTCATGCAACAATATCTGTAGTGCGTTGACTTGCATTGCTGCAAACTATGCCCCTTGCGCAAACAGTTGAGTCACAGGTACAACTTCTTTGCTTCTCTAAATCGAAGATTTTGCCTTAAATTTAAAAATCGAGCGCATTTTGCCAAATAATGATCCCTAGAATCACTAAATATACATAGCGGAAGATTTGAGCTCGTAGCTAAAGCAATGAATGTGTTTGAGCTATACCTATGCAGATTTTTTCCCACCTGCTGGCCTGGTGTTTGCGTTACCAATGCAAAAACAACCTAAACTTGACCTTAGAAATTGTAATTGTGGTGAACGTCGCAATAAAATCCGGCCAATCAGAATAGGATCAATGGAAACGAGCTATCTCCAGAATTGGTAACCGGCGCTTCCTAGATCGGAAAGAAAGATTCGGATGATTAATAATGTCGATGGATGTTGAATTTTCAGCGGTTCAGCGGCCTTGCGCCTTTAGATCCATGAACACTGTAGAGAATTCGATCCGATGGTCGCTCGCTATCTCCGCAAAATCCAATTTTTCCATCGAAGTCTGTGCAGAATCAAAGGACAGGCTTACGGAATTAATCCACTTCATTCGCTAGTAAATCAGCTTTATAAAACTGATCTACCGACTTTGCGTTTATATAATAATTCATCGAGTTCAATTGCCGCAAAAGGGATAGTTTTATTTTCTCACGCGACAAGAATTAATAAAAGAAAAATGTCTCACCGCTTCAGTAGGTATAAACCGGGTTAGTTTTCACCGCGCAAATTTAGAGGTTAATCAGCGTGACCGAGATGCAACGGAACCTCAACAATGTTGTTGTAGTAAATTGTCTGCCTCGCAACAGCAGATAATTGGCAACCGCGCGTCTATGGCTATATAGAAATTAATTAAGTATTGCTCGACGGACAAGATGATGAATTGCCGTCCGCCAATTTTACTCCTCCACAGATTGATCCTTGAGGCTGGAGATATAAAGTTGGGGCAACAGGCCCTTTGATTTCCCTAGCCGGCTGGCCGTAGAATATCCAGTTAAGTAGATTAGGTTGGAGGGATGACTGTCCCTCTTTATCTGCTGGCTTAGAGACTCAGTCAGATTTGGAATAATAAATGTTTTACGACGGATCGTCGGAGTTTGGTATATAAGCGATGGCTCTTTATTTGTCAATTATCAAATCAGAACTGAACTTAAGAGCTAACAAAAGTGAAACTCATGCGGCAACTCCAATGGGCAGTGCTTGCCGGATATGCACGAGCTTCCGGCCAGACCCTGGGTCAGAAATTTGGCCGGAGCGAGCTTTCGGACGATCGGTCATTGCCGTCGCCCGGTTAACTTAGTTCACTTATACATATGTATAAATAGATATGCAATAGGCGCTATTTACGAAGCTTAAACGAGAGACACCTTTGTTTATAATACTTGGCGCAACACAGCTTTTTTTAACAGCGTGATGTACACGAAAATCAGCGGCCGGCTATTTGCACTCAGGTAGTTAAGTATGTATGTATGTGCGTTTGCTTGTGTGCTTTTGACCGAATGCCAGTAAGCGGCAGCGAAGCAAAGCGATTTGTTTAAACAATATTAAACAGCGAACCGGGTTGCAGACTCCGAGCCAAAGGATCACGTCGGGGTCACCAAAATGTTTGTGAGGAAAGCAACGAATTTGCCACCCTTGAGCAATAACTAATTAACGCACGGTAAATATGGCATTATAGTATTTATATTCTTATTTAATTTTGTCGGAGCTGGAACTTATCGAAAGTGTTGATGAATTTGCAGCTCGATGAATCGTCAATGCAAACGGCTCCAACTAAAGTTGGCTCCAGCAGGGAGGGCCAATTCGACGAATTCCTTGAAAAAGGAAAGAAGGTCCGTTAGCCCAAAGGAAATGATCCAGCAATTCTCTTGGGGTACATACTCGCGACACGACAATTACTTTCAGACAGATGTAATCGATACTGATTTAAGTAGAGCATTTGACTATGTTAACCATTCTCTCCTTGTTAGAAAACTCGATTTAATGGGATTTCCAGTTGATCTTCTTAGTGTGATCTCAAGTTATCTGAATGGTAGGACGCAAAAGCTCCATTTTTAGAATTAATTATCTAATGTTCTAAGGGTTACTTCTGGCGTCCAGCAAGGAAGTCATTTGGGTATTTTATTGTTTACATTATTTATATACGACCTGCCCAAAGGTTTGATTAACTCTGATAACGTCAAGCTTTACATGCAATGCAAGGACCTCGCCTGCCGGTCGGATTTATAAACTCATCTTAATAATTTCCAAACATGGTGCCGCATAAACTAACGTACATAAACGGCTCTAAATGTATACTAATGACTTTTTTCGCATAGTTCCCAAGCTTGCAAACTTATACGCTTAACTGCTGTTCTTTGGAAATAATTAATTTAGTTGACGATTTGGGTGACCGCTTGGATCCTTAATTTGACTTTATCGATAATTTTTGTCTATGGCGAGTAGAGCCAGGGGTGTGCTTGGATTTATTTAACGGTGGTCGAAGGAATTCAATGATCCTGTTTCTAAATCCTTATATATTTCGTCCTATCCTAGAATATGGACGCTGTCTTTGGAGCCTTCAGTACGGCTTCCATAGTAAAATCATTAAATCGGTTTAAAAGAATTTTTACTTTTTCCTCTACGCGGTTGAAATTGGGATGCAAATCAAAAATTATCTTCCTACCTTCTAATAGACTCCTCCCAATCTGCGAAATCTGAATCATCGGAAATTATGTAAGGGTACGCGGTTGTCCGCCAAGAAACTAATAAACTATATAATTCAAGCCACGAGGTAAAATTCAAGGGCGAACTTAAAGGAGACGAAGTCCCAGTTCGGTTGGCATTTGATGACAGTCAATAAATCGGCCAAATAAAAAAAGGCCAATCGTTCAGTTTGGAGGATTAACCTTTAACATCCCTGTTTTTCCTATGGTCAACTGACCGTTCCCGTAGCACGTTCCCATGTTGGTAGGCCTTTTTCTCCGGAAAATAAAACATAAACTATAGCTCTCAAATGATTAGATTCAAATTAATTACATAGAAATTTTAATTATATGCGTTTTATTATCACTTTGGGGTCATATAAAACATCAATTAGGGGCGAGACAAAGTTCCCCGGTCCAGCATGTATACTATAAATTAAATTACCGGCAAAAGTCCAAATAAAAAACTTAGCGAAATGCTAATGGTGAAAAAGGTAACGGTAAACTGTTAGCTTGTTTTATAACTTGAAATGAGCGGCAAGTGAGAGCTTAATTTTTTATTTATTTTTTTTATTGAATTGAATTTATTATTGTATATTACTGTAGTGTAGCAATAGTGTGGGGAGGAGTTCAAAGTATAATTACAAAAGTTTAAGGGTTATAAATGGTAAAATTGGGTTAAGAAGTGGCAGGAAGCTTAAAAAGTGCTTAATAATTATTTCTCCTTGGAAGGGTTCAAGGAATGAATCCTTTTGAGTCTTCGCCGAGGCCACCGAGATGCAAGTCTTTTGGCAAGGAAATTCGGGTGTGACGTGAGCTTATTCATAAAGTGTTTGGCTTGTTCATTGATAATATCCCCAATCAAGGCAGGCTTAAGGTCCCTCGCTAAGTCTATGTCAGCAGCTGTAGTTCTCCGCAGGAACTTGGTTTGAAAGAAACTGGTATATTTGGACCTTATTAGTCAGACTCACGTGATTATTTACCTAAAGATGACATTACAGCCTTCTGCCTTATCCTTCAATAAGCCCTAAGTATCCTCGTATGTTTCGCTTAGGTTAATCATGTGTTTAAGGCATAATAAGCTCCCAGGCGGAATAATATGGCAGATATCTAGAATACCTGTTCAATGAACCCAGATTATTGGATAGGGGCGAATCGGTGTCCGGTTCTCAAAAGAACATGGTACTATTAGTGGCCAAACTGGGTACATCTTTGGTGACCGAAATCCAAGTAGGTAAATTTCGACGAGGACTCCAGAAATGCATAGTTAAATTTTGTGAATAGGAAGGTTTGTTATTGAGGTGATTCCCTATGCGGCAAAATGTCTGTTTTAATAAAAATATTGGCGATGTATTACGATCCTTAGCTGGATAGGGAACGATCAAAAAAGGGAGCGACTGAATTATTCAACAGGTGATTTCAAATGGTATCTTTAGTCAAAGTATGAACAATTGAGTAAAATTCCGCTAAATTGTAAGCAAACTGTGTTGTTAGAGTTATTAATAACTAAATGCATGTCCGAGTTTCTCTAATTACATATAATGGAGTATTTTTTAATTATATTAACTAAAAGCGTATGCATGTTTAAGATAAATCAACTTGCAAACAGGAATACGCTTTGGATGAGTTAATTTTATTTGAATGAAAATATCTTATAAGCGGTTTGTATGGTTACAGCTGTTTTTATTTCTGTATATCTTAACTCATTCAGACATATAGGGAATAACCTTATAATTTTATAATCAATTTTGTAATGAAGCCTTCGTTTAATAAAACCGTAATTGAGTGTCATAAGACCATAAGTATCGTTCCATGTTGCAAAAGATAAAAAAATAAAACGATAACTTCAATATATATGGTTATCGGAAATCGAATTATTAAAACGGAAGACTAAAGTTTCCGTTGCAAATTTTTTTCACTTAAAAGTAAAATAATAATCTTTAATTTTCTCAATTGCACAATATCTCGCATAATAAATAACGGCAATAAAATAAAAATATTATATGTATTGAATTGACATAGTGTACGAGTTTTCCATGAATCCAATGTTGTGTAAAAATAACGGCTTACAAAAATGAAACATTTTGAGTTTAAATGTTAACTGTGCTTACTTTTTGGCAAAAAAATACAAAACAGTAGATAGTAAACAAATATAGTTGAATGGAATAGTTTAACCATCCCTCATTTTTTGATACAAATCAAACGATTTTTCCACCCTCTTGGAAAAATATATATGTACATATGCATACATATATACATATGTATATGTGTAACTAGCTGCAAAAACCATGAAGATAAAATGCCTATATACACATGTACATAAGAATTGATATTAACCTTAACTTCTTATATTGATTACTTGTAGAAAAATGCTTAAAACTTAGTTATTATGATGGGCTTCTAATTATTATTTATTTATCATTGTATTAAAATTATAATGCTTTCTAACATTCATATTTCGTAATATACATATGTACATATGTACATGTACATGTAAATATTATGCATACATATGTAATATTTGGTCAATTTTTATGTTCAATAAATGTTTAGCTATTTTTGCTATGAAAATATACAGATTTTCCTTAATGTTTTCATTAATACTACTGCCTATTATTTTTAATTTGTTGATTTAAGGTATCTGCATATGTATGTAAATACATATGTATACATATATGTACGTATATACATATGTACTTAGTCGCAGTTTTGATTTAATATTTTAATTATTTCCTACACGAAGTACTTGTATTGATTATGATAATGTAGAATAGGCTAGGTTCAAGGTTTTATATCGCATAAGCTGGAAAACTAGTTGTTTTCTCGATAAAAATTTTAAGTAAAACTAGAAAAAAAGCTAACTAAGCTATCTACGTTTGTATACCCTTGCAAATTGAAATTAGATTCTTAGTAATTAGAACAATCAAATTATATATACATATGTATATTTTTGAAAAAAAAAATCTATGTAATGCTTACCTTATCTTTATTAACTATATCTTTAAAACTAAGGGACAGAAGACCTTGGCTGGATCGACTGTTGATGCTGATCATGATACAATTATACAAGACAGTCTCGTCCATAAAATCTGGTGTACCTTTACATTCATAGCAATAAGAGCGAGTGAGAGGAGCTGAACTTAGTATGTGCGAAAGGAACGACAATAGAATGTGTTGATTAACCCTTAGATAATATATGATGCTTTAAGATTACTTTTATAGAAACGAGTAGGACATTTTTTCTATATATTAATTTATAATAATTTTGAGGTGCAGATGAGGTATTATTTTTGTTTTCATGTTGCGACTCTTTTTTTATACCCATGCAGGGTATTATAATTTCAGTCAGAAGTTTGCAACGCAGTGCAGGAGGCACCTCCGACTATATAAAGTATATATATTCTTGATCAGGATCAACAGCCGAGTCGATCTACCCATGTCCGTCTGTCCTTCTGTCCGTCTGTCCGTTTCTTCGCAAACTAGTCTCTCAGTTTTAAAGCTACCTGAATGAAACTTTGTAGTTAGCTTTCTATATACTCTCACTCGTATACATATGTATATGTCGGAACAGGCCGGATCGGACGACTATATTATATAGCTGCCATAGGAATGATCGGAAAATTTTTACAAAAAAAATTTTAACTTTTTCAGTTTTCAAATCAAATTGGATCAAATTTGAGATATAGCCATTTTACTATACTCTTCAATTTTGTACAAAATTTTATAAAAATCGGACTACTATATCATATAGCTCCCATAGGAACGATCGAGAAATTAATACAATTAAATTTATAACTTTTTTAGTTTTCAGCTGATTTTCATCAAATTTGAGGTATAGCCTTTTTATATTAGTCTTAAATTTTGTTTCAAATTTCATGAATATCGGACGACTAGATCATATAGGTGCCATACAAACGATCGTTTGATGTGGAGAAAAAATGCAAATCAGTGAATGTAAAACTGCAAATATAATATGTATAGGTTAATGAAATGAAAGCAGGTATTACTACATTGTTTTTTAACATTAATATATATTTTTTATATTGTATGGAAGGAATCCAGGAAGTCATCGAAGTTTTATCTGCAAGGGTATATAAACTTCGGCGTGCCGAAGTTAGCTTCCTTTCTTGTTTTTTTTAATTTGTATATTTTTGAAAATTTCATGTTTTTTTGTCCGCACACAACCACGCATTAAAGAAAGACCCAAGCGCTTTGACTGCCGACGAGACTAGCTTCGTAATTGTATCATGATGCTGATCAAGAATACACACATATGTACATATGTATATTTATAATTTGGTTGAAAATGTCCTTCACTGCAAACATTTGACTAAAATAGTACCCTGTAAAATAAATAAATACAATAATATAAATTTTTATATTAATTTTATTTATGTAGTAGATGTACAACATGAAAGCTTAATATATATTTAATAGTTTAATGTTTTTATATTTATATAGTAACTTAAAAATATTCATAGGAAATTGACATACATATGTGCAAAACTGCATTAATGACTAGAAAAATTTTAAATACGTTTGGAATATAGCTTTTGTATGAAATAGCGTATCCTTTTCGTTTTTCTAATAATTCAAATCGTTTAGGCACTGAATTTACCAAGTTTTGAGGACGGTTATATCAATGGTTGCCCATTACTTAACGAATGCCTCTTTTAAGTCCTTTAAGTTCTCGAGTTGCCTTCCACCTCCGAAAACATTAGCTGAAAAGGGATGCCTCAAAGATCCTGAATCGTATAAAAGTCCGGATTTATAGCAAATCACTGCATTTTTGGATTTCAGAAATGCTTTTGTATAACGTGCAACGTGTATAGGAGCTTTATCCTGTTGAAACAAAATCTTCTGGATGAAACTCTTCAGAAAATGGTAAAAGCTCGCTTTCCAAGAAAACCTTGTAAATTTCCGCATTCATGCGACCTGGCACAAATCACATTGGCGATTTACCAATGAAGCTATTGCACCCCAAATCACTGTGGAACGACCACCATAGTTGCGTCTGCAGCAATTAAGCCTGGGATGCCTGATTGGCTATCTAAATTCTTTTTTTTATTACTAAAATTTATATTTTTAATAATAGCGAGTAGAACAATTTTATGGCGTCGCAATAGCTTAGGTTTTAAGGTCCCACCTTTGATTTATATCGGAGGTGTAAATCCTTCCGGCAAATTTGTTGCATCCGTTATTGGCAGCTTCCATTGTGTTTTAAATAGGGCGCAGCTCATACTTTCCCCATTTCCACTAAAATGTGTCGGTTAGTATGGCCATCAACCTTAGAAACAGCACATTTATGGTTTTTATACCCTTGGTATTATAATTTTAGTCAGAAGTTTTTAACGCAGTGAAGTATATGCTTAATAAGACGAGTCGATCTAGCCATGTCCGTCTGTCCGTTTCTACGCCAACTAGTCTCTCAGTTATGAAGCTATCTGAATGAAACTTTGCAGTTAGTCTTCTATATACTCTCACTTGTTTATATGTGTCTGAACGGGCCAAATCGGATGACAATATGATATAGCTGCCAATAGGGAGAATCGGACATTTTTTAGAAAAAAAAAGATAACTTTTCCAGATTTCTACAGATCAAATTTGAGATATAGCCATTTTGTAAAATTACAGAATTTCGAATTTAATTTTATGAAAATCGGACTATTATACCATATAGCTGCTATAGAAACTATCATTAAATATAGAGAAAAATGCCAAAATGTAATTGTATAACTATAAATATAATAAGTATAGGTGACTGTTATGATAACAGGAAAAATTATATACATTTCTTTTGAATATCAAGAAAGTCTTTTTTATATTTAATAGAAATGTATATATAATTTAGATTGGATTAATTATTAATGATCGAATTTAAATTAGAAAGAGTACGAAAACTTGGCCGTGCTGAAATTAGCTTCCTTTCATGTTCTGAGCATATTTTTGAGGAGACTACAAAATTTGTTATTATATTTCGATCCCTATTTATTGTTGTAGCAATTTGACGCCAAAGTTTTTATTTTCATCTGCTCTTTCATTAATTCTGTTCCACGTCATTTTATTATATAGTACCATTTATTAACTCAATTTTTTCAAAACGTTCAATATAATTTTTAATTTTATTATTGAATGTGAATAGACAAATTTTATCACTTTGTTTCTTTCTAAGCTTACCAAATATTTTGCACATTTATGAACTTTCAATTAAACGCAGTTCTTCGCGTTTTTCTTTTGGGAGCTGATACGAAACCAATGCATGATGAAACATAAGTATATATAAGAGAAAAATTATGTGTACCCAAAACAAAACTATCGCTATTAAAACAGGAGAAATATAGAAAACAAATCGTGCTTATATAGAAATTTTTGTGAGGTACTTGGTAAACCATAAAACATATCGTAATAGTCTATATTTTGAATTGCAGAATCAGCTAAAAAAATAAACAACTTGCCGGTCCATTAAATTCAGAGCAACCATGATTGATCCCAGTTCAAGCGAAGAGGAGGGTGATGATGATTCTATTACTAATGTGTCGTCTAATAAGGGACGCCATCATATCCAGCCGTCCAATAAGAGTGGCCCTGGCAACGCAGTTTCCATACCACTTTCTTGTCTGGGCTCTAATATACCAACGTCTAACTCTAATGGGGACCTAACTGGAAACCTTAGAAACTTAGCGAATACGAATACAACGCCTGTCAGCAATCGGGTTGATGCTAGCCAAAATAGTGTTGCGGGTGGTGGGGTTTGCGCTAACAAGAATCAAGATCAAATACAAGGTACTAATAGAGTTGATGGAGGCGGTCTTGAGGTGCCCAACAATGGAATTCCCAGGTAAGGTTACAGATAATTATATATATTTTTTTTTTAAATCATAGAGATGCGAATAAAACCTATTTTATTTTAGTGGCATTTCGCAAGAAACTCTGAATCAAAGTATTGGTTCCTCAAGGGCTAATTCGCTGCCGCGTCCACTGTCGCCTTCGCCTTCTCTAACCAGCGAAAAGCAAGAAACTGGGGATCCACATGTAAGTAATTTTACCCTTAAGCCACAAAAGTGCCTTAAAGTATTTATTTCTGTTGTTTAAAGTTATTGGTGGAAACTGACATTAAATTTATTTCGATAACATTACAAAGAATTATATAAAAAAAAAAAAAAATACTATTACCTAAAAACTGATGTGTTCCAAATGGCTCCATATACATACGTAAATCCTACCTATATATACCTCTACTAATCATATTTCACCTAAACATATGTGTGACTTTTTTAGGACAAGCATGAACGTGAAGAAGATGAACGCAAACGACGAATTCAGCTTTATGTGTTTGTTTCACGCTGTATTTCATATCCATTTAATGCTAAACAGCCCACAGATATGACAAAACGACAGACAAAAATAACCAAACAGCAATTGGAAATAATTACTCAGCGATTTCAGGTAAAAATCGTGTCTGATCGAAAACAATTTTTTGTAAATCACAAAGTGGTACATTCTTAAGGACATAAGCATTTTGATTTCCATAACTAATATTAAAATCTTTATTCGATCGACAGGCCTTTCTTAAAGGCGAAACACAAATAATGGCTGACGAAGCCTTCCAAAATGCCGTTCAAAGCTATCATGATGTGTTTTTAAAATCGGAGCGTGTTCTGAAGATGGTTCAGTCGGGTGCCTCATCGCAACATGATTTTCGTGAAGTCTTTCGAAATAATATTGAGAAAAGGGTGCGATCCCTGCCAGAGATCGATGGGTTAAGTAAGGAGACAGTTTTAACCTCTTGGATGGCGAAATTCGATATAATACTAAAGGGCAGCGGTGAGGAGGACTCAAAGCGACCGTCCCGTATGCAACAATCGTTAAATAGTGAACTAATACTATCCAAAGAGCAACTCTATGATATGTTTCAACAAATATTATCGGTGAAGAAATTTGAACATCAAATTTTGTACAACGCGCTAATGGTGAGTAATTTATATTATAATTTATACTACATTTTTTTATCTTTGGAAATAGTCAAAACTTGGAATGAGTAAATTTTTAAGATAATTAATAATAATAATTTATTAATCACGAAAACTTAAAATTGTGTCAACATATATTTGATATCTAAGTTATAAAGTTTTAAAAGTTTTAGTAGTAATAAAAATTATAGTTATTTCGAAATTTAAAAATAATGAAATAAATTATATAGTTGGACTCGGCGGATGAGCAGGCCGCTGCCATAAGACGCGAATTGGATGGACGAATGCAGCGTGTGGGCGAAATGGAAAAAAATCGCAAGCTAATGCCAAAATTTGTATTAAAAGAAATGGAATCTCTATATATTGAGGAATTGAAATCGTCTATAAATTTGCTGATGGCGAATTTGGAATCTCTGCCAGTTTCGAAAGGAAATATGGATAGTAAATACGGACTTCAGAAACTAAAGCGATATAATCACAGGTTATTATTTTTCACTTTCCAATAGAAAGAAATGCTAAACAAAGTATTTTGTTTTTCCAACACTTGCTTCTCCTGTATTGGTATCTTCAGTACTCCGTCGTTTTTGTAAGTTTTTAAATACTTTTTTATTTTTAATATACTAGTCATAATTATATGGTAAGTATTCGCGATTTATAACAGATTTTATGCAAGGTACACAAAATAAACCTCTTAACTTGTAAAAGCTAGTTATATATAAAAAAAGTCTTTCTTTCATGCTACTATATATATTAATTTATGTAATTTATTAACATTTTTTTCCTTATTACAATCAAAAAGAAAATTAATACTACGTTCGCATGGCTCATTGTCTAAGCTGGAAGGCGACTCTGAGGATGGTTCAACACAGCTAACAAAATTAGATGTAGTTCTGACATTTCAATTGGAGGTTATTGTTATGGAAGTAAAAGGTCTTAAATCTCTAGCACCAAATCGCATAGTTTACTGCACAATGGAAGTGGAAAATGGCGAAAAATTACAAACGGATCAAGCGGAGGCATCGAAGCCCATGTAGGAATCGAGACATAATGCCTCCATTTATAATATTTTATATACTTTTATATTTATTTTTATTTAATATTTTATATATCTTAGGTGGGACACACAGGGCGATTTTACAACCACACATCCACTACCTGTTGTTAAAGTAAAACTTTATACGGAAAATCCGGGGATGTTAGCATTGGAGGATAAGGAACTAGGGAAAGTAACCTTAAAACCAACGCCTCTATCATCCAAAGTAAGTTATTACGATTCAACGGAAAGTATAACATAAATACTAGTTAAAATATATAAAAGAAAATAAAAACATACAATTTACCCTAGTCCCCTGAATGGCACCGAATGATTATACCGAAAAATCTCCCAGATCAAGATATACGTATAAAGATAGCTTGCCGACTCGATAAGCCTTTAAATATGAAGCATTGTGGGTAAGTACATAATAAATTATATATATATATATATATGTATATACAAGCTGGCCGGGTGAACTTTGTCTCGCCCCAAATTGATGTTCTACCTGCCCGTTGGGTTAGATATTAGTAAGCGCAATTAAAAAAATAAAAAAAAAGCGGGGAATTTAACTACCGGCGTGCTGCCTGATTACTTTCTTGCATTTGTACTAAGTGGGTTAGTGTTTAGGTCTTTAGTTTGGGATGAGTACCAACGTAAGAGATTAGTGTGTACAAATAATTATAATTTGCACATAAGACTCAAAGGTTCATGCAATTCAAGGCAGGTTCTACAGTGGCGCAATACTAAGGATATATAGGATCTATTGTAGTATTTCTTCTTGGTACGTGGAATAGGACTAACTCAACAAGTCAGCACTTTCCACATCACCATTGATAAGGTTGTGGATAACGTTTATGCCTAGCACAGTTCAACGGTTAGATAAGGAAGGTAAGTTAATTAGGAGTCTATTAGAATAGAAAGGTAATCTTTGGTAATAATTTGAACCGCGTAAAGCCAAAAGAAAAAAAGTTCTTTTGAACCAATTCGATGTCTTTATTATGGAAGCCGTACTGAGGGTTTCAAAGGCAGGATCCATATTCTAAGATAGGATGAACTAAAGAAATATATAAAGATTTAGTAACAAAGGGGTCATTGAATTCCTTTGACCACCATTTAATAAATCCAAGCACACTCATGACTCTATTAACCATAGATGAAATATAATAATAAAGTCAAATTTAGGATCCAAGCGGACGCCCTAATCATCAACTAAATTAATTCTTTCCAAAGAGCTGAAAATTAGCGCATAAGTTTGCAAGCTTAGTCAAAACTTTGGGCAGGTCATTTATAAATAATGTAAACATTAAGGGACCCAAATGACTCCCTTGCGGAACGCCAGAAGAAACCTCTACAACAGTAGATAAATTATTCTTAAAAAGGAGCTTTTGCGTCCTGCAATTCGGATAACTTGAGATTCAACTTAGAAGATATACTGGGAATCCAATTAAATCGAGTTTCCTAACGAGGAGAGAATGGTTAACAGAGTCAAATCCTTAACTAAAATCTGTAAAGATTGCTTCTGTCTAAAAGTAATTATGGAAGCCCTTTATAATATAGGAAGAGAGCTCCAAAAGATTTGTTGTTGTTGCTCTTCGCTTAAAAACACCATGTTGACATGGGGACATAACTGATCGACAAAGGTGCTGCAAGTGAGGAGTAATTATGTTTTCGATAAGTTTTGGGATAGCCGACAACTTGGAGATTCCTCTATAATTGCTGGCATCCAATTTGCTAAATTTTTTATGGAGAGGAAAAATAAACGATTCCTTCCAAATAAGGGGAAAGTGGGAGGTTACTAAAGATAAGGTAAACAATTTCAGAAGGGGATAGCACAGGGCGTCAGCACAATAACTGAGCATACAGCCAAGAATTCCGTCCTGGACCTGGAGAATAAACTGGCTTGACACGATGAAGATCGAAAAGAAAAGAGCTTTCGTTTAGGCTAGAATTGAAAATTAAGTTCGATTTGGGTATGGCGTAGGAAAAAGTCTGATTTGAATTCGAAGAGTTTGAATAAGTTGCGAAAATAGATCGGCTATTGCTTAATCATTATTTCCGGTAGTATTTTCAAATGAGAGCGAGGCTTACCTTTAGTGTTAACTAAATTATACAATTCTTTTGGATACTTGGAGAACTGGACCTACAACGAGTTAAATAGTTTTTATAACACTGCGCGTTCAGCACGGTAAAACTTGACCGAGCAGATAAATAAGAGGAAACAGCAGTTTAAGAACTGATGATTTTAAATTTAGCATACAGCCTACATTTTTATACCCTTGCAGGGTATTATAATTTCAGTCAGAAGTTTGGAACGTAGTGAAGGAGTAACCGCCGACTATATAAAGTATATATTTTGTAGATCAACATCAACATCCGAGTCGATCTAGCCATGTCCGTCTGTCCGTTTCTACGAAAACTAGTCTCTCAGTTTTAAAGCTATCTGAATGAAACTTTGTAGTTAGTCTTCTATTAAATTTTCTTTATCCCATTAGTGTTGCGTCACTGTAGAACCTCCTTTGAACTGCATGAACCTTTTAGAGTGTTATGTGTAAATTATAATGATTTGTACACACTAATCTCTAACGTAGATACCATATATCTGCCATAGGAATGAGCGGGCAATTTTTACAAACAAAAACTATAACATTTTCAGTTTTGAACAGAATTTGATCAAATTTGAAATATAGCCATTTTATATTATTCTACAATTTTGTGTAAAAGTTTATGAAAATCGGACTATAATGTTATATAGCTCCCATAGAAACGATCGTTAGATATTGAGGAAAAATGCAAATCTGTAAATGTTAAAGTGTAAATATAATATGTATGTGTGAATGTTTTTTTAACATAAATATATATATATTTTGTATTGATTCCTAGTCATCGAAGTTCTATCTGCAAGGTAGGTAGCTTCCTTTCTTGTTTATTTTTAAGGCGGCACAATTCTTTAGTAAACCATTGGAGCTTATTTGACATAGGCGGATAGTATAACGGAACACATTCAGTAAAAAATGGGTTTATGGAATTGGAAAAAGTATCCACGGCAACTGACATGTATAGATCGAACAAATTGAACTCATATATTCGACGAACTCATGACAAACTCAAAGCTCGTCTTGCGAAAACAGAGAATTTTTTTGGGCTGGATGGCCAAATAGCCTAAGAGATATTAATATCTCCTAGATCTACCAACTGGTCTCTATCCAAAAGTCTAGAGGAAACCATCTGGGCAGAGGAAAGGTGGTTCCAATGAATAGGAAGTTTCGACAATGGAGGTATGTAGGGGGGATACATTCGGGCACCGAATCTTTTTTAGTGCTCGATCTTGAACCTTGAGGGAAGCGCTGAGGTCGAAGGCTGTGCCGAGGGGGATGCTGCTGGGAGCCCTTTGCGATTAGCTGAGATCCGCCTGATTGCCGCCCACCAATTGCGTTTTTTTCGCTTTGGAGACTCATTAAATAGCGTTTGGCTATTAAATTGTGCAAAAATCAATAATATGTCCTTAAAGCCGCTCTTGGCTTGCCGCATAAAAGACATCATCTCCTTTTCCGCCTCACGGCAGTCCTCCTAGAAGAGGCGCAGGGCGAAGTTTTTTCTCACATCGTCCTCTGTCTGATCTGCAACACTAATACACTTGGGGTGTATGATGTTGTCGCACAGCCAGCTGCTGTAAGGTAAGATCACCTGCATTGATATCGTTTTTGCAGGTTTTTGGCGAAACATACGATATTAAAGGACATTATTATGACTTACCACTGTACTTTAACGTTTGTAGATAAAAAGAGAGAGCGAGAGAGGTGCAGCGGCACAAAAAGAGCAGGAGAGTGCGGGAGTTAGCAAGCTAAGAGCGTTTAGCTGTCACGACGGCGCAAACAACAGCTAATCGGAGATGCAAAATATGCAAAGGCATTAGTAGCACAATTAAAAATCGAGAAATAAACTCAATAAAGTACACAGATTAGAATAGCATGCACACGCAAAGTGAAGGGGTTGTTATTGTAAAGAAAAGTAGACAATTTAATTTAACCTCGGTGGTTTTATGCAAAATATAACACAAATCGAGAGCGCAAGAAAAAAAACACGTCCGTTCATTTTGAAAGATGATCACCCCAGGGTGATGTAAAACTGAGAGAGCGATATATTAAACTATATTTTTTTAATTATTTTTCGGCGTAAAAATAAACAACAAACAAATGACCATGCGAAGAACAGCTATATTCAAGGTTGATTTCACTGACTTCCAACGATTGGCCTTGAGACTGTTTGATTGTTATCGAAAAGCCAACCGAACTGGGAACTGAATCAGCTTAAGTGGAAATGGTAGATCATTTGGAATTTATGGCATTGGTACTTTCTCTCCTTTGAATTTTCCCTCGTTGCTTGAATTACATTGTTCATTATTTCTTGACGGACAACCGCGTTCCATTGCACATTGATTTAGATTCCACAGCATTATTATGATGAAGCCAACATTAAGCTGTACATCAATCGGCGGATTTCATCAAGCGAGTTCAAAAACTGCGTAGGATACCCGTCAACGGATTTGAAAGAATTCAATTCTCCAGCGATTTAAATTTTAATGATGGAATTCAAACTATCGACGCAAAGAATAATCGGCAGGTTTTGGTAGTTCACTTATCCAATATTATAATTTTGGCCAATGCCGGAGAAAACTTTGTTGTTGAGTTCCGTCACAGATGACGTGAATTCGCAATAATTGCCGGGAAGGATATCAATCCAGCCGAATTGCTGGTTATTGTGCACGTTGGATATTCAAACGACAGAATATTGAAAGGCAGGTTCAATACGGAATGTGCAGTTAGATGATGCAACACCCAACGCTATTTGTTATCTTGATAGAATAGTTGCCAGAATCAGAGCACTTCACGTCTAAATTTCTTCTATAGTTTAGGTTAGGTTAAAGTGGTGAGGCTACGCAAGTAGCTTCCACTAGTGACCCGAGCTGGTTAACTCCGAAGTGACGCGCCCTGATTTGGTTAAGCACTGGGGAGTGACACAGTAAATGCTCTAGTGTCTCCTGCTCTCTGGGTTCCTTGTAACTTCTGCAGTGTTTGTTTTAGGGTAGGCCCATCTTGCAGGCGTGCGTGCCTATTGGCCAGTGGCCAGTGATAGTTGCCGTTATCCCTTTGATGTCTTTTTTACTCTTGGAGATCAGCTCCCCGGTCCGTCTCCCGTTTTAATTAGGCCAGCACAGCCTCGATTTTCTGTGCTCTGTCTTCCATGACCATTCCTTGCTGGCTAATAGTTCAAAATGGTTTTAAGTTTCCATTTAAATTGAGTTCAGAGAGACTAGTGTGTCTGTTGTATTGAAGTTTTCCTCTGACCCTTTCCTGGCCAGCTCTTCCGCTTTCTCGTTTTCGGGAATGTCGGTATATCCTGGTACCCAGGCTATTTGTACCCTGTTGTCCTCTGCTAGTCTGTTTAGTGCCTCTTTCCTGTTGCGAGGGATTTGATGACCGCTTGGCTGTCTGAGTAGATCCTTACCTTTGTATTCCGGAGGTCTCGATTTAGTGCGGGTTCGACTGCTTTCAGTATTGCAATAACCTCCGCCTGGAACACTGTCGCTCACGATAGGAGGTGGAAGGACTCTTCTACTCCCCAGCCTTGAGACGTCGGTGTAGAGTGATACCCAATCTGGATCGGGTACCCTCCCTATTCTCCATTCTTCTCTTGTTGGGTATATCGTGGTGTAAGTGTTGTCGGTTGTCAAATAATCAGTGTCGTTCGCCATTGGATAGCTCATCTCGTCTAGGAAATTGCAGTGTCCGGTGTCGTAGTTCTTCGAACTCTGGCTTGCCTTCGTACCGCACTTTGGGCTGCTGGTTTCCTGATGATGATATGTCATCCATGTTTATCAGCCAAAGCAGCGGAAACAGAACTCCTCCTCCTCCCTGAGGTGTGTCTCTCTTCACAAATCTTGTGTGATGAGCGCCACTCAGTTCGGCTGCTATCTGATGCCTTCTTCAACTCCAACCTTGTTGAGGGAGCTCAGGATGTTGTCTGCGTTTACGTTATTGAAGGCCCCCTCTATGTTTAAGAAGGTGGGCAAAGTGTAATTCTTGAAGAGCAGTGCCTTTTCTATGTATCGTACCACTTCATGAAGTTTTGTCTCTGTGGATCTGCCTTTCGTGTATGCATGCTGTGCGACGGAAAGGCTTTTCTCCGTTTTACTTTTGATGTGCATATCTAGTATCCGGCCTAATGTTTTCATGGGGAATGAGGCCAGGCTAATCGACCTGTAATCCTTGCCATGGATATGTCCTTTTCTTCCTGGTTTGGGTATGAAAACTTCTTTTGCTTCCTTCCACGGAAGTGCGATGTGCTTGGAAGAAAGCTTGTAGCCACCTACCCATGCATGGTTTTGTTTTTTGTAGAATTGCTGGTATAATTCCGCTTGGACCCGAACTTTTTTACTTGTCGAAGGAGTCGATCGCCCAATGGATCTTTTCCATAGTGACTATCTCTTACCCATGCTAATCTTAGCAACTCACTTTGCCAGAGACTTCCGTTGACTCGTCGTCGCACCTGATTACTCGGTGCCCTCTAACCATGTCTGAAAAGTCATTTGATAGTAATTTGCCTGTTACCATCTAAGACAGTCTGGTCTCGACCTCCCATTTCTCCATCAGCAGGCGCCCATCGTCATTGAGCTTGTCCAGCAGTGCCATGGCAAGGCTGTCTCTAGCCACCACACTGAATTCATTCGCCGGTATGACTAAGGATGTCGCTCTCAAGGCCCCCTTCTCGTTCTTCGCTCTCTTCGGAGCGCTCTCGCTTGCTTCGCGCGGGCAAGAATGCTTCTGGGTGCTCCTTCTTATATCTTTCGAACTCCTCGACCACTGCCTGGAATCGAGCTTTGTCTATTTATCGCTTTATCTCTTTGGACAGCTTTGCCCTCCTCATTCTTCGCTATCTTTGCCAGAATTAACTGGGCCGGTATTCTGCCGCTCGTATTAGCCGTACCGTAGTACATTTAAAGGGGGTACCACGCGGAGGACCTTCTCCAAAGGGAAGGTCAATCAAATTGATTTTCACCTGCGAGTCGACTTGATGCATCTAGTGCCCAAGGAATATACAACAGCAAGGACTATACTGTTCTTGCCTTGGTCTGATGCACCCTTTCCCACCCCTTCTTTTTTAAAGTGCCGTTTCTGCAGGTCAAACCTGTTCATATTGGGACCGTGTTTGATTATTACGAACATTCATGTTAATGTATACGTTAACAGTAATTTGTCAGTAATTTGTCCAACCTTTTCAGAAACAAAAACATTCGCCAGCCAATTTCAAACAATTAAAAAAAATTCAAATCCAAATCTAAATCGGTCCACCCGTTATCAACTGACGTGAGAATACAAAAAATAAACCTTGTAGTAATTAGAAAAGTGTTCTGCAGTGCCGTTTGCAAAAGTGGGCACCATCAGAATCTGGGCCTGCCGCGTGAGCTTTGTCATATCATGTGTATAGGCACTGTAAAGCGTAAAACGTCAGTCAAACTACGCTACCGTACGGAAATCAGCCTTCCAAATGCTTGATAAATATCTCGAAGTGTGACCAACTTCAGACCGCATGCGCAGCTTACGCACGGTTATCAGATGTCCAAAAATTTGCTAAATGACAGTTTAGAGTATCGATACTAGATCGACTCGGCTGTTGATCCTGATAAGCAATATATATACTTTATATGGTCGGAGATGACTCTTCACTGCGTTAAAACTTCTGACTGAAATTATAATACCCTGCTAGGGTATTAAAATGTTTCGTATCTCAAGGTTATTTAGTGACGAGTGCAGACCACTCGCAAAAATAAATGAACAATATGGAATTAAATTACAGTCGAGTCCCGATAATTCGAAATGGCAAGGGATCACTTTTTTTACGAATTAGACGGGAATTCGATTTATCGAGATTTCTATTTAAAGGGGCTCAAAAATGAATGAGTCGAATAAACGGGGTTTTTTCACATCATGTTTACATATGTATTTAGCTTTATTAAAATTAAACAAACATAATAAATATGTACACTCGTTTGTGCGTTTTTTAAATTAAAGGAAAATTAAACAAAAATATAAAAATATAAAATTTCTTCTCCGTTCTGATGCCTGCAAAATCTAACGTCGCTTTAACTACAAAATATTTCGCATCGCATTACGATTTATAAGAGGTTTCGAAATAAAATTACAATTTATAAGAGGTTCAATATTCTTTGCGTTGCGCCAAATACTACGAATTAACGAGGGGACCAAAATGTATGAAATTTTTACGAATTAACGAGTTTTTTTCAAGGGGACAGAATTTTTTACGAATTATCGCGATTTTTGATTTAGCGGGGTACGAATTATCGGGATTCGACTGTACTTTATTTTTGTAGTTAAATTATCATTTAAGAGTTTATCCTGTACCGGTGAATTGGGACGGGACAATATTCGTCGGTTTCCCAGCTATAATTTTATAACTGAAAGTTTTTTTCTACTTTTTATCAGTCATCTTTATGCCATCGGTAAATCTGTTTGGAAGAAATGGAAAAGGCGGTATTTTGTCTTGGTTCAAGTATCACAATACACCTTTGCCATGTGTAATTATAAGGAGAAAAAATCTGAACCATCGGAGATGATGCAATTGGATGGATATACTGTAGACTACATAGAAGCTGCCAGTGGTGAGTACTACTTATTAAAAATATTCAAATTCTTTCTTGAAATGAGTGTCTTATTTGAAGATATACATTAAAATATTTGTTCTTTAATTAATTACTTACGGAGATAAGATTACAGGAAGTCATTAAAAGCTGAGATATTTACTAAGATTCATATTATTTAGCAAACCTGATGTTTGGAATTGATCTAAATGGGGGACGTTACTTCTTTAATGCTGTTCGTGAGGGAGATAGCATTTCATTTGCCTGCGACGATGAAAACGAGTGCAGCCTTTGGGTGATGGCAATGTACAGAGCAACAGGACAATCGCATAAACCAACGCCACCAATAACCCAGGATAAGAATTCAGCGTTATCAAAAATTCAAGGTGGTAAGTAGTGTTAAACATTTTTAAGCTATTGAACCTATTAAATATTTTCATAAACCAATTAAGAAAAAATGACAAAACTAGTACAGAAGCAAAAAAAAAAAAATGAATGAATCTTCATTGTAAATATTCTTAAAGGGCGAATTTTTTTGTCAAATAGGATAAATATTTTTATTGACTATAGTTTTTTGTTTCATATTGTGTTTAATTCCTAGAATCTTCCTTTTTAAAGACTAACAATAAACAAGGAAATTCCACATTTTGTAATAAAGTCTCCCCTAATTAACGACCAATATTATAATAAAAAACAATTTTCATTAATTCACTTTTTTGTTCATTTTACGCGTGCATGCACTGTTCGGTGTTGTGTATAAATTGTATTTAATTTCAATATTACGTTTGTAAGGTTTTTGATGGCTTTATACTTTTTGCAATTCTAATTAAGATATTATCAAATTTTTATAAAATTAACACCTGGGCGAGACTCCCACCGCACGGCCCTCGACTTAAAGAATTCTGAGATTGATTGTTATCTGGCCAAAATTATCGTGCGAAATGGACAAAAAGTTTAAAACATTTTTATAAATGCAAGGGACAAATAAATGTCCATAATTTAATTTAGTTTCAAAGTTCTTTTAAAATCTTTGACAGGAATAAAAAAATTGATATGGACTGGTAGTTTTAGAACGATGCGAGGATAGGTACAGGTTTCGCTGAGCTTTTATGACTGATGGAATGAATTTTTAATATGTTGAAGAAGTATATTTGGTACAGATGTATGAATATTTAAAACTTCATCGCTTCTTTAAAGAAAGCAAAACCGTGGTTTAGAGAGTTGTAAGGTTTTCGTCTGCTTGTGCAGGATGGCTAAGCATTCGCAGGGTGCCCATGACGCGCTCTACACCAGATGCATGCTCATTCATACATTCAGCTCAGTTAGCTTGTTTATTCGTCCATCCTTCCATCCTGGTGGACAAGCAAATTTTTGTGCCGTATTAGTGTTCTTGAGAAGTTTTTTTTTCTGGTGTCAAGCCTGGAGCAGGCACAGATGCAGACATCGTGGGACGTGGTTAAGTAATTTAGTTGTTTTATTTATTTTTATTTTTTTTTATAGTAGCGAAAGCTGTTGCAGTAGTTGTAGGTTGTGTTTGTAGAAATTTGTAATTTTTGGCAAATTAGCATGCCTAAAAATTTTTTAATATTTCAGATTTTATGTTTCGCCTGTGTACGCTTTTATTTATGGCGTGTGTGGGTTTTTTATGTAAATTTGTTTTTTGTTTCATGCTCCTAGATTTCTCTGTTATCGGAAAATATTTTTTGGATGCATCTTTAAATAGGCTTTCTGTTAGGGAATGTTTAGTACTTCTAGGTTATTATCATATAATAACATCAATTGCCATTTTAATGTGTGTACTGGATTCCATGGATTGCACCAGTCTTTAACTTCCAGCTATTTAATAACGACTCTGTCAAATTTTACTAAACGCTAAACACGCTAAACGTTCAGTTCTCATTTGACATTTGTATAATATTTTTACTACTAAACAGCATATTACCAAAGAGTATGAATAATATATAAATAATATGAATAAATAAATATATCGTGTGGCGAGTTCCAGCGGCAGAACTCGTAATGTTTGATTCTAATTCGAATCTGGCGGTCCGAGACCTACATTGTCGCTTGGCCTAGTGGCTAAGGCATCGCACTACCAACCTTAGTTAGTCAATAGACTTCCTTTATTATACCCTTGCAGGGTATTATAATTTCAGTCAGAAGTTTGCAACGCAGTGAAGGAGGCACCTCCGACCATATAAAGTATATATATTCTTGATCAGGATCAACAGCCGAGTCGATCTAGCCATGTCCGTCTGTCCTTCTGTCCGTCTGTCCGTTTCTACGCAAAGTAGTCTCTCAGTTTTGAAGCTATCTGAATGAAACTAAAGGAAACTGAAGGCTAACTTCTATATACTCTCACTCGTATATATGTCGGAACGGGCCGGGGGTTATTCGGTGTATGTGTGTATCATATAAAGTAGATATATAGATATAGTAGATCTCCATCCTAATCTCGGTGATACAAGCCTTTCGCTTATAAAGTGGAAAGACTGACCACGGATGTTAGAGGCCGGTACCCAGCATAGATCGCAGCAGTGCCTGAATGGCGGACTGGGCCACCATTTTGGACGTTATGCTCCTAAATATAGTGGGGCACCCACACCGGACCATGCTCAGTGTGCAAGTCAGGAGCCGTCACCGGAAGCCTTGGTTGGAATCGTTTGATATCTGCTGCCACAAGCAGCTTTGTTCAGACTTGGCGACGGTAACAGTGGCACCCTCTCCCGCAGAGGCCTCAAAGCGAGTATACAGACAAGCAAATTGAAATGCTTCCTGGACCTCTGCAGCTTTCGGACCACGACCAGTGGGGGAGCACCTACAAAGCCATAGTAAATCGTGCACAGTATAGATTGGACCAATTGAAATCATATATAAAATTATTCAGCCATTCAAAGTCCGTCTTGCGAGACGGTCAGATATATTCTGTAAGTCAGACCCAATATTAAGAGTCACATCGAAAGTAGGATGATACGGATCTTCGGGCTGCGTCAGAGGCGCCACCCTTGCTAAACTGACTCTTGCAGGACCAGAGATGAAACAAAGATCGAGCAAGCGCTGTAACGAATTTTGGACATGCTTGACTTGAGACAGCGAAATGTCGAAATGAAATGCCAGCGATAGTCATGTTGCGTAGAAGTTAGGAGAGTATTGGTGGAATTATTTAAACACCAAAAATAGCACATAAAATAGCCTAGGACTACCAGCTGGTCTCTATCCAAAAGTCTATTGGAAACCATCTGAAAAGTTGAACAGTGGTTTCAATAAATAGGAAGTTCCGACAATGGAGGTATGTAGGAGCAGGTAATTAAAATTGAGCTGCCATTGATAGGTTCAACATCGTTGCATTCCTCGAAAGTTATTAATTCTGACGTGAGCAACCGCTATAAGAACTCCACCCCCGCCCCAGATAGGGCGATCTTGCCGATATACTGTGAACACAGCTGGAAAAACTTCGGAGCTTAGAATCTCCGGCTTTAACTGTGAGCATAATAAACTGAGAAGCAAACGAAACGAAAGAGTTCATTAGGGACATTTATTTTAAAAGATGAAATAACCCTAGCGTAAGAAACTTTAAACTTTTTCACCTTAATCTTTATTTTACCGGCTCTGGTTTTGCCTTGTATAAAGGCGAAAACATCTTCCGATGTTTGATCAGGGGAGAGCCGCGAAACAAAAATTTGTCTCGTCGGTGGAACCGCTATAAGGGCTTTTGGCAAGGTTATCTGCCGTGCCATTGTCGCCCGGTATTCCGGGCCTTATAACTTGGGCAGATATATCAGTGTTCACGGGACTTTGAGGGGTCAATATTTGAGACCCCCAGGGGACAAAACGGAAATCACCGGCGGTGCGGGCACTCCCGCGACACATTCGGGCACCGAATCTTTCCTATCGCTCGATCTCGATCTGTGCTAAGGGAGGCTGCTGCTGATAGACCGTTGCGGGTTGTTCGGGTCCGCCTACATGCTGCCTCGGAGACTCATTTAATAGCGTAAGGCTATTTAATTCGGTGTCCAGCGCCAAGAACATTTCATGAGTTTTACAAAAAATCCCTGTAAAATGTTCATAAAACCGTCCTTTGTTTGCCGCATGAAAGACATAATCTCCCTTTCCACATCGCGACAGGCCTCGCAGCAGTAACGCAGGCCGATCTTTTTGTTCACATCGTCCATCGTCCGACCTACTCCACCAATACACTTGGCGTGCATAAAGTTTGTCGCACATCCAGCAGCCGATTGTAAGGTCCCTTGCAGAAATAGCCTTTTTGCTGGTTTAGCGAAACACACAATGTTAGCGGACATTATTAACACTTACCACTGTACTTGTACTTGAAAAAAAAACATAATTCTAAAGATAAGAAGTGCAGGGGCACAGCAAGAGAGCGGGAGAGCGTGGGAGATAGAAAACCTAAAATGTTTAGCTGTCCCGACGGCGCAAAAGGAAAGCAACACGAAGAAGGCACAAAAAGGAATGCAAAATATGCTAAAGTTAACACTAGCGCAAGAAAAAAACACGTCCGTTCACTTGGAAAGATGAAAGATTATGATTCATATTGCTAAATTAGTATGTAAAATATTAGCGTTGTTTTGCGATACCTCGCCGATATTTTCAGCCAGATAGGGAACGACCCTAACAGGTCTGCGGCTGAATTCTTGAAAAGATGTCAATATTTTAATGATTAAAGTATAAAATGCTGGAAAAAAACAAGAAAACAGAGTTATTAGAGTTATATTAACTAACTGCATGCACAAAATACCTTTTGAAATCTTGATAACCATTGATGAAGGTCGAGAGTGAACTGGCAATCTTTTCAATTCATCCTATTTTAATTGCAACTCTCAGTCCAACAATTGATTGTAAATATTCAAATAATGGGTGGCCTGTATGCCTGGAATTCTATTATATTTTATTTTTTATTAGACGCAGACAAGGCGCGAAAACATGGAATGGAGGATTTTATAAGCACCGATCCCTGTACTTTTGACCATGCCGCACTTTTTAAAACCTTACAGAACCTAACTCTTGAGTATAGGCTTAACGATCCATATGCATCTTTGGTGAGTTTATCGATACCTTGGTTTTTTGGAAGTCATATAAACTACATATTACAAACCATAATTATTATTATAACTTTTCAGGGCTGGTTTAGTCCCGGACAAGTTTTTGTGTTAGATGAATATTGTGCCCGTTATGGGGTCCGTGGATGTTATCGTCATTTATGCTACCTTTCGGACTTACTAGATCGAGCCGAAAAGCAACATATGATTGATCCGACGCTAATACATTACTCATTTGCATTCTGTGCGAGTCATGTTCACGGAAATCGGTAAGATTGATTCATTTATGTATATGTTTTGGATATATATTTATTATTAGAATTATTTATTTTATCATAAATAATATTGAATCATAATTATATGTGTCCCAGGCCCGACGGTGTTGGCAGCATAACACATGAAGAAAAGGAAAAATTTTCGGAAATCAAAGAGCGTTTGCGTCAACTTCTGGAGTTTCAAATAACTAATTTTCGATATTGTTTCCCTTTCGGCCGCCCTGAAGGTGCGCTAAAAGCCACTTTATCTTTGTTGGAAAGAGTGCTTATGAAGGATATAGTGACACCGGTGCCACCTGAAGAAGTTCGATTAATGATCAAGAAAAGTTTAGAGACAGCAGCACTGGTAAATTATACACGCTTGTCGAATAAAGCCAAGATTGAAGGTAAGAATGTTATGTGTTTGATTTATTTGGCTTCATTTTTTTTTTAATTTTATTTTTATTGTATTATAATCGTCTATCACTTAATAGCGAACGGTAGTGTTTTTGTTTTGCGCTCCGAATTTTTGTGCTCATTTGTGTTAAACCACCGGGGTTGTTTTTTCATTATATATTATTAATTACATTTACCTTTTAGCTACCGCGCGTGCATGTGCTTTTATGTGTAGTTTATATATATTTAATACTACTTTTAGTTTTGTGCAGACGGTTTTCTTACTTTCCTTTTGTTCTCATCCCGTTTTTTTTTCCGCCCGCTTGAGTGTCATTTGCTTTTGGCTGCAGCTAAGTGGTTTGAAGCTCACGCTCTATTGTTCTCTTGCTCTCTCTCTCTCTCTTACTCTCCCGCTCTCCCGCATTTTTTTTTTTTTTTTTTGATTTGATAACGTGCACAGTGGTTTAAGGGTTTATGAAAATGTCTTTAATTATAGTCTGCGCCATTAAAAATTGCTGTAAAGGTGTTTCACCCGAGTCTCCATTGCTGGCTTTGCGACGCGGCAGTGCATGCAAAATGCATTGATGTTACGTTATTTTCCATTTATTTTATTTTCGTTATTTTATTATTTCCAGCAAAAAGGGATTGCATTATTGCTGTGAGGCCTTTAGATCGGTTGAGAGGGAAATGATTACCTTCGTGCGCCAGATCAGGAGCGGGGTCAGGATCCTGCCTTATCTCGGAACTGGTAGTGTCTAAAGATTTCACGGATATACAATCATTTCGAGGTAGTTTTATTTATATCTCTTGTTTGTATATCCCTCCATCATCTAAAGAGCCAACTTATTGGAAACACCTTTCGGCAATTCGGGCCGTTTCCAAAAGGCTTTCATATAGGGACCAACTAATGACTCTGGGGGACTTTAATATATCTGGAACGCGTTGGTTCTCTGATCGTGTATCAAATGTCTTTCAGACTGCGGCATAGCATAACCTCATAGATGTTTTGCTTGATTTGTCCTTATCTCATGTTATCCATGTGCATAATTCATTAAACCGCTTACTTGATCTGTGCTTCGTCTCTGATTCTGTAGGCGTAAACCTTAGTAGAGTTCCTCCATTGACGCAACCTGAAGATCCTTACCATCCAACTTTCGAAGTGACTATCAATACGGGTACTATCATAGGAATAAAACCTAATCGAAAAGCTGTCAAAGTCAGCTGTTTTCAAAAAGCTGACTAAGCTGAGTACTTTAATATACGAATTTAATTGGTCCGATATGTGATGTGCCCTGACATGGCAACCGCCGTGGACATTTTTTACAGTGCCACAAACTCTTTCTTTTCGTTAAGTGTTCCGGTAGCCTAGTTGGTCTCAAATAAACCGCCTTGGTTCAACAAAGAGCTAACACGCCAAAAAAATGTAAAGTGTAAATTTTATAATAAATGTAAACTAACTGGTTACAACACTGTACTCCCTTTAGTTATCTAAGCGCTCGGTAGAACTTTAGCGTTTTTAACGCTCAGTGCTATAAAAATTTTTTGACTCGTTGTGGTGTTCAGTTTTTGCAGAACCCAAAACAGTTTGATAACACTAAGCGTAAACCCAATCTAATCCATTCCTCGCTTACATATAATAATACCACCGCAAACTCTGACCAGAACATCGCCGATTTTTTTGCGGCGTTTTTTTAAAACAACATATTTTCCCTCTACCACTTCAAGTCAGATATATTCTTTTGCTAGGAGTTATCTTAGTGACAGCACTCAAAAGGTTCTGTTTAAAAATGTTGTATCCAATAGCCTCAGTGTCAGGTCTGGCGCCCCACAAGTTGGCCTTGTTCCATTGTCATTCACACTCTTTATCAATGACCTGCCGCAGATTCTAATAAAATCTACAGTACTTATGTATGCTGATGACCTTCAATGCAGTACAGCTCTAAATGCAGGAGGCATTATTATTAAAAGGGGGTCGCAGGAATTCTATTCTCTTTATGTAACTAAGACTCTTTTTACTTCATTAGCTCGTCATTTATTGGAGTATGGAGTCAATAGTAGCAGCATTGAATCTGTCTAAAACAACTTTTTGCTGTTTGCCCTCCGAAGCTTAAACTGGGATGCTGACCTAAGATTACCGTCTTACTCTAGTAGACTTCTCCTAATAATTTACATTCCCTAGCTAACCGTAGGACAATGCTTGGCGTCGTCTTTTTACACAAACTTATCCACGGGGACGTGGAGAGCCCCTATCTGCTTGGTCAGCTCAATTTCCATATTCCCCGACTAACATCTAGACCTTATTTTCCCTTAGTGGTAGGAGAGAGTTAGAAGTAAATTAACCCTCAAGGGTTTTATGTACCGATTACAATCTTTGAATATATTAATCGCATTGAAAGCCTTTCTAAATTAAAAACTTTTATACTTTTAGAATTAGCTCGTAATGTATCCTAATTTTCCTCGTTGTATTACCTATTTTCCTTTCCTCGCGTCTATTTATCGAACGTGCCTTACATTACACGGCTGCGTGTAAAAAAAAAATTATGTAATTTCTTTTAAAGGTTTTATTAATTTACCTTTCCTGTATTCTTATAATAATAGTGATATTAAAAATAATTTTGTTTCGTCTGTTTTTGAAGGAAGTATTATTATTAAATGGAAAATTAACGAATCAATCAAAATATTTACTCATAGAAGATTTACGTGGCGAAATTATAGTACCAGCGCCAAAAAAACTGGAAGACCTAATACATTTGGCCGAACTATGCGTTGACTTGTTGCAACAAAACGAGGAACATTATGGAGAAGTAAGTATCACGCCAATTATAAGCCTACTATAATTTACCGCTTGCCTAATCTAAGCATATACAGGGTGCGCCATCTTTTGGTAACTGATGTTTTTCTTGAATAAGTTCCTTGCCCGATGACAAGTTATTGACCATTTAAAAAAATACAAAACATTAAAACATTAAACACCGAAACAAAGAGCTGACATTGTGCATTTTTATTAATCTTGCTTAACACGCTTTCCGAGCGAAAAAATCGTGGCAATCAATTGCCTTCATCTAAGGCAATTGAACGAATGTGGGTCTTTGGCCAAATCCACGCCCAAATGTAAACCACTCCTTCGTCAAAGTAATGAGGTCATTATTGCCATTCGAGCCGTTGCTCATGACCATCAGAACACACAAATTTAAATAAAATGAATGATCTTAAACATTTGTAAAATAAATAAATTTGTTTTTCTTACTTAAAAAAACTTCAGATAACACAAGATGGCGCACCATGTACAATATCCGTGTATGAAATGTCTATATGTGTGTGGTCATTAAAAAATAAACTAATTTAAAACAAGAAAATAAGCTAAGTTCGGCACGCCGAAGTGTTTATACCCTTGCAGATTACAATTCGATCACTGGGAATTATATATATTTATGTCAAAAAACAACATTTCAGTTACCTAAACATGTAATTACAGTTTTACAGTTTATAGTTACAGTTTTACGGTTACAGTTAAAGTTTTACATTCATAGTTTTGGTTTTTCTCTATGTCTAACGATCGTTTGTATGAAAGCTATATGGCAAACGTCCGATTTTTATAAAATTAAAACCGGGATTCTAGAATAATACAAAATGTAAATCCGGCCCGATCCGACATTTATACGATTGATAGTATATAATTGCATAATTGCAAAGTTTCATTCAGATAGCTTAAAAACGGAGAGACTAGTTTTCGTAGAAACGGGCAGACGGACGGATACACGGACATGTTGACCAAATATACATATGTACTTTATAGGGTCGGAAATGTCCCCTTCACTGCGTTGCAAACTTCTGACTAAAATTATAATACCCTGCAAGGGTATTACAAATATATATTTGTATACCTAATTTGTAAACTGGATGTGCTTGAACCCTTTTTCTAAACTATTTATATCCCATCCATCCAATCGTTTTGGTAGTATATATATATATATATATTTTTTTTTATTGTATTTGTTTCATTTGTTTTATAACAAATTAATATCTAACATCACAATTGTAATTAATATTTACATATTTAGTAAATCATATTAAATTTGAATCAGAGTTGGCATTAGTTGATTTTTTCATTGTATCTATACCAAACGAAAAATTAAGAAAGTTCAAACTTATTCAGGCTCAAACCTATTAATGTTTTATTTATTTAACTCAAACCGTGGCGTAAGGCTATAGTTCATAATACAGTAGTATTCCATTTGAATCTATTCGATATATGTACATACATTTTTATTTTTTCCAAATCAGTTGGACGTATTCATTTTTTTTCTTTTATGAAAAATCTTGGACACTAATCTACTAGAAGCAAAAAACACGATATTTTTGTGTTTTAAAAACCAAGACCTCCATAAACGTGTTTTAATAATTTTAAGTATAAAGAATATACAACTTTTCCTTACACTTATTAAACTACCTATGCATATATTGTGCCCTATGATTTATTTAGCTGCGCAAACACGATAAATTGGATAAAAGTAAAATGGGTAAGAAGCAAGATTGCAATGTGTCAGGGGAAGAGGAACTCTCCGAAAGCGAGGCCAATCCTGGAGTAAACACAACAAGTGACCAACTGGTTAAAGCTAAATCAACCGAGGAATCTTCTTCATTTCGTTACTGTATGCCGACACACGCAGTCTATACTACGCCAGTACAAACGGCACGTATCTATAAATTCGATTGGATTAGGGACTTAATGACATAATATGATATGTTGTTTGTAAAGCCTGGTCAGGATTTCAGGGTTTTCATTGTCTTTTAGTATTATTTAACGAAAGTCAACAAGGGTTCTTAATTTCATATATTATTATTACTATAATTTTTCCCCCAAAAATGAACTTAGTGAAAAACTTTTTATGTTACTGCGTTATCTGAAGGGATGGATGAATTAAAAACGATATTTAACGTTGTGTGTAAAATCTACATTCTGAACAAAATATCGGACAAAAAAATTTACAGAAATAATTAAATAAATGTTATATTTTTATTTGATATCTGTTCGATAGATATTTTAACTGTAAACATTTTTGATTCCGATAATTTACGATATTTAAAAATTAAAGATGTGGAAGTTTACGCCATTTTCAACCCTATATATCATTTGATAAATCATATCGAACTTTTCCTGTCGACATACAAAGGAATGTAGTTTGATTATTTGAATTAGAAAATTTATACAATAAGTGATTTAATTTCGCCTATCAGCCAATTCGATCTGGTCAAGAGTCAGTAAGAGTATATGTGAAAAAACTGATCTCCTGACGACACGGGCTCTCTTCGTGAATTATGTTAACTTTTCGAGACTTAGTTTCTAGTACAATTAATTTATTGTTTGATTATTTATTGTCGGAAGAAAACACACCAAGACATATACTTCGTTTTTCCCAATCGCATGATAGTAATATTATGTTGTGTGTATATGAGAAATATCTGTATGTAAATATCATTTTTAAATATTATATTAACATTGTATTACCGTTGCACGTGTATTTATCATTACTGCCTTATAAAAGCAACTTATATAACATTAATTAAATAATTCAATATAAATAAAATATAATATTTTAAAATATTGTGTTCTTTAGGCATTTGCGTGGTTCAGTGACTTGTTGGTTGAACATGCTGAGATATTTTGGTCTCTTTTCGCCGTTGACATGGATCGGGTTTTATCGGAACAAGCGCCTGATACCTGGGACTCATTTCCATTGTTTCAAATTTTAAATGACTATCTAAGGGCTGATGGTAAGTTGAACGCAATATTTATTGAGAATGAATTTAATAATTTATTTTTAATCGATTAAATTTGATTATTTTTATAAAAAAGAGTGTAAGGTAGAGGACTGCTATTGTTTTTATACCACTGCAGGGTATTATAAATTAACACAGAATATTTCAATGCAGTGAAGGAGTTATTTGTGATAGTAAATCTATTCTTGATAAGTATCAACAGCCCAGTCGATCTTGACATGTCCTTCTGTCCGTTTCTACGCCAACTAGTCAGTTTTAAGCTTTCTTAAGGAAACATTGCAGTTTGTTTTCTATATACTATCACTCGTACAAACATAAGTCGGAACGTTTCAGTTTTTAACAGATTTTCAGATTCAGATTTGTGATATAGATATTTTATAATATTCAAGGATTTCGTTTTAAATTTTATGAAAATCGGACTACTATATCATATAGCTGCCATAAAACGGCCATACAGCCATTTTATAAAAGCTAAAAATTTATTTTTAAATTTTATGAAAATTTGAGTACTATCTCCTATAACTGGTATAGGAAATATCGTTAAGTGTAGACGAAAATGCAAACAGTGAATGCAAAACTGTAAATATAGTAAGTATAGGGGAATGTAATAAAAGTTGGAATACTTACTTGATTTTTATTCCCTTGCACGGTTTAATAATTTCAGTCTAAAGTTTGCATCGCAGTGAAGGAGTCATCTCCAAACATATAAAGTAAATATTTTCTTGACCAGGATCAACAGCCGAGTCAATCTAGCCATGTCCGTCTGTCCGTCCGTCCGTCTGTCCGTCCGTCCGTCTGTCCGTCTGTCTGTTTCTACGCAAGCTAGGCCCTCAGTTTTGAAGCTATCTAAATAAAAATTTGCAGTTCGTCTTCTATGTACTATTACGCGTATTATATGTCGGAACGAGCCGGGTCGAACGACTACATATATCATATAGCTGCCATAGGAACGATCGGAAAATGTTTAAAAAAAAAATTATATCTTGTTCAGTTTATAACAGATTTTCGTAAAATTTGACATATAGCCAAAATATATTAATCTAGAATTTTCCGTAAAATTTTATGAAAATCAGACTTCTTTATCATATAACTGCCATACAAACGATCTTTAACAAGAAATGAAGCTAACTTCGGCACACCGAAGTTTAAATACCCTTGCAGATAGAACTTCGATGACTAGGAATCCATACAATATAAATTATATATATTTATGTTAAAAAACAATAAAGTAATACGTGCTTTCATTTCATTTACCTATACATATTATATTTGCAGTTTTACATTTATGATTTTCATAAAATTTTATTCAAAATTGTAGAATAATATGAAATGGCTATATCTCAAATTCTTAAATTCTATTGAAAACTGAAAATGTTATAATTTTTGTTGTAAAAATTTTCCGATCATTCCTATGACAGCTATATGATATAGACGTCCGATCCGGCCCTTTCCGACATATATACGAGTGAGAGTATATAGAAGACTAACACAAAATTTCATTCAAATAGCTTCAAAACTGAGAGACTAGTTTACGTAAAAACGGACAGACGGACATTGCTAGATCGACTCGGCTGTTATATACTTTATATAGTCGGAGGTGCCTCCTTCACTGCGTTGTAAACTTATGACTGAAATTATAATACTCTGCAAGGGTATAAAAATAGAGGAAAATGCAAAACTGTGAAAGTAATACTGTAAATAGAAAATGTATAGGTGAATGAAATGAAAACGGGCATTACTTAATTGTTTTTTAACAAAATTATATAAAATTTATATTGCATTAATTCCTAGTGAACGAATTTCAACCTGCAAGGGTATACAAACTTCGGCGTGCCAAAGTTAGCTTCCTTTTTTTGTCATTTTTGAATTTTGGTTTTAATTTTAGTAAAATCGGACTGTTATATGACACTATTTTATCGGGTGACTACTGGGCCGAGCACGTAGCTATTAAGAGTACATGGCTAAAAAAAAGGAAAAGGACACTGCCTGTGAGAGTACAACTACCCAGGCTGGCACAAGCTACAGTATCCCCCGTTGCACCTTCAGTCCCAAAAAACTAACCTCTTCCTTCCATCTTTCATATGAGAATACTAGGTGCTTACTCAGCAAGCTCTCAAAGCTGTATTCTAGATTCTCTTTTGCATCCCAGGTAATTGTGTTTAGTAAAACCTGGTTGAAGCCGGAAATATTCTGCTCCGAAATTCTTCCGGGTAAGTAAACAATTTATAGATTAGACCGGCTTTTCCAGCGAGCCGTTGACTCCAGCCTTATCTCGGAACTGGTAGTGTCTAAAGATTTCACGGATATACAATTTATCTGTGTGATAATATATCCCTTATATCTCTTGTTTGTATATCCCTCCAACATCTAAAGAGCCAACTTATTGAAAAAACCTTTCGGCAATTCGGGCCGTTTCCAAAAGGCTTTCGGATAGGGACCAACTAATGACTCTGGGGGACTTTAATATATCTGGAGCGCGTTGGTTTTCTGATCGTCTATCAAATGTCTTTCAGACTGCGGCATAGCATAACCTCATAGATGTTTTGCTTGATTTGTCCTTATCTCATGTTATCCATGTGCATAATTCATTAAACCGCTTACTTGATCTGTGCTTCGTCTCTGATTCTGTAGGCGTAAACCTTAGTAGAGTTCCTCCATTGACGCAACCTGAAGATCCTTACCATCCAACTTTCGAAGTGACTATCAATACGGGTACTATCATAGGAATAAAACCTAATCGAAAAGCTGTCAAAGTCAGCTGTTTTCGAAAAGCTGACTAAGCTGAGTACTTTAATATCCGAATTTAATTGGTCCGACATGACAACCGCCGTGGACATTTTTTACAGTGCCACAAACTCTTTCTTTTCGTTAAGTGTTCCGGTAGCCTATCGGTTGGTCTCAAATAAACCGCCTTGGTTCAACAAAGAGCTAACACTCTCAAAAAAAATGTAAAGTGTAAATTTTATAATAAATGTAAACAAACTGGTTACAACACTGTACTCCCTTTAGTTATCTAAGCGCTCGGTAGAACTTTAGCGTTTTTAACGCTCAGTGCTATAAAAATTTTTTGACTCGTTGTGGTGTTCAGTTTTTGCAGAACCCAAAACAGTTTGATAACACTAAGCGTAAACCCAATCTAATCCATTCCTCGCTTACATATAATAATACCACCGCAAACTCTGACCAGATCATCGCCGATTTTTTTGCGGCGTTTTTTTAAAACAACATATTTTCCCTCTACCACTTCAAGTCAGATATATTCTTTTGCTAAGAGTTATCTTAGTGACAGCACTCAAAAGGTTCGTTTAAAAATGTTGTATCCAATAGCCTCAGTGTCAGGTCTGGCGCCCCACAAGTTGGCCTTGTTCCATTGTCATTCACACTCTTTATCAATGACCTGCCGCAGATTCTAATAAAATCTACAGTACTTATGTATGCTGATGACCTTCAATGCAGTACAGCTCTAAATGCAGGAGGCATTATTATTAAAAGGGGGTCGCAGGAATTCTATTCTCTTTATGTAACTAAGACTCTTTTTACTTCATTAGCTCGTCATTTATTGGAGTATGGAGTCAATAGTAGCAGCATTGAATCTGTCTAAAAGAACTTTTTGCTGTTTGCCCTCCGAAGCTTAACCTGGGATGCTGACCTAAGATTACCGTCTTACTCTAGTAGACTTCTCCTAATAATTTACATTCCCTAGCTAACCGTAGGACAATGCTTGGCGTCGTCTTTTTACACAAACTTATCCACGGGGACGTGGAGAGCCCCTATCTGCTTGGTCAGCTCAATTTCCAAATTCCCCGACTAACATCTAGACCTTATTTTCCCTTAGTGGTAGGAGAGAGTTAGAAGTAAATTAACCCTCTACGGGTTTTATGTATCGATTACAATCTTTGAATATATAAATCGCATTGAAAGCCTTTCTAAATTAAAAACTTTTATACTTTTAGAATTAGCTCGTAATGTATCCTAATTTTCCTCGTTGTATTACCTATTTTCCTTTCCTCGCGTCTATTTATCGAACGTGCCTTACATTACACGGCTGCGCCCCTCGGTCATTTGGGCGGGAGGTGAGCTTCGGATTCGCGCCCAAAAAAAAAACTATATATATATAGGTATAGGTGAATGTAATAAATCTAGGCACTACTTGGTTGATTTTAACCCTGAATATATATACTTTTTAATTGAATAATTATAATGATCTAATTGCTGTATGCAAGGGAATAGAAACTTCGGCGTCCCGAAGTTTGTATTCATTCGTTTTTGGAAGCTAATTTTAATCTTGACAATTTTGTATAAGATTTTCATTTTATAATAATTTTAAACACCTTTTGAAATCAAATTTTATAGGATTAGTCAAAATAATAATAATTTTTGTTCATTAAATATAAATTAAATAACAAATATTAATGAATTATTTTCACAAGACAATTTGCGCAATGGCCGATTCCATCAACATCTTCGCGACACTTTCGCTCCTCTAGTTGTACGCTATGTGGATCTCATGGAATCCTCAATAGCTCAGTCGATTCACAAGGGATTCGAGAAGGAGCGATGGGAGAGCAAGGGGTACGTATTTGTATATATAAGATATACGTTTTTTTATTACAAAAATATAAAATATATGGTATGAAGGTATGGTATGGTAGGTTTAAGTGGTGAGTTAGCTATCCTGGTAGCGTCCTACTTATGTTTTCTAGCTGGCTAGTAATTTGAAATGGTCGTCATTTGGCGACTGGACTGAGTTGAAAGAAACTAAACAAGAAAGGAAGCTAACTTCGGCAAGCCGAAGTTTATATACCCTTGCAGATAGAACTTCGATGACTAGAAACCAATACAATATAAATTATATATATTTATGTTAAAAAATAATGAAGTAATGCTTTCATTTCATTCACTTATACACATTATATTTACAGTTTTACATTCACAGATTTGCATTATTCCTCTATATCTAACGATCGTTTGTATGGCACCTATATGATATAGTCGTCCGATTTTCATAAAATTTATCACAAAATTTAAGACTAATATAAAACGGCTATATCTCAAATTTGATGAAAATCTGCTGAAAACTGGAAACGTTATAATTTTTAATTGTATTAATTTCTCGATCGTTTCTATGAGAGCTATATGACATAGTAGTTCGATTTTCATAAAATTGTACCGAAAATTTAAGAATAATGTGAAATGACTATATCTAAAATTCGATCAAATTCTGTTGAAAACTGAAAATTATATAATTTTTTTTTTTTTTAATTTTCCGATCATTCCTATGGCAGCTATATGATATAGTCGTCCGATCGGGCTTGCCCCGATATATATATGAATGAGAGTATATAGAAGACTAAGTACAAAGTCTTATTCAGATAGCTTCAAAACTGAGGGCCTAGTTTGTGTAGAAACGGATCGACTCGGCTGTTGATGCTGATCAAGAATAGAAAAGAATGACCAGTTGTCTAACTGAGTACATTCTCTCCTTGATAGTTTGGAGCTTATGATTTTAATAATGCAAGAACCTCCGCTTGAAACACTCTTCAATTCACTCTTACCACGCGTCGGTCTCTTATTTTCTTGATAGACATGTTTTCTGTAGAGAATGTACATAGACTTTGAATGCCGCGGGTCATGTGCACCTACTAGGGATTCGAAGTAACTTGTCAAAGACACCTTGGTAACTTGTTACAGACTTTACTTACTCTTACTCGTATATATGTCGGAACGGGCTGGATCGGACGACTATATCATATAGCTGTTAAGGAACGATCGGAAAATTTTTCGAAACAAGTTACAACTTTTCCAGTTTTTAACAGAATTTGATATATACATATATTTGAATTTTGTTAAAAATTGTATGAACATCGGACTTCTAAATCATATAGCTGTCATACAAACTATCGTTAAAAATAGAGGAAAATGCAAAACTGTGAATATAAAACTGTAAATATAAAATGTTTAGGTCAATTAAATGAAAACAGGCGTTACTTAATTGTTTTTTTTTTTTTAATATTTAATTTATATCGCATTAATTCCTAGCGTTCGAATTTCAATCTGCAAGAGTATACACACTTTGGTCTGCCTAGCTAAAAAATATATAGTATACGTCAGATTGTTTAAATATTTAAAGTTAAACGTGCAAACAAATTTATTGTAGGGTACATGTTTTATGGCATTTTAAAGTATCTTAACATTAATGTAATATTGTATTTATGTGTAATGAGCGAATTGCAATCTCCCATGGTATACAAACTTGACATACCTTTTTGGTTGCACTTTAAATTTAAAATACCTTATCTAACGTATAGGTTTTCTATGACAGGATTTAAGTTCAGCGATCAAAAACTTTCGGAAAAAAATAATCAGGTTCTTTGTTAAAAAATGCTTACGGGCTATATTATAATAAAATAAAATAATATAATAAATATAATAATAAAATAATAATATAAATAAATAAAAATAAAGTTGGAAACAGATACTAATTTGACTTAAATTTGATTAATTTAAGGAAAGTTTAATAGATTTCAAAATACGTTATCACGTCTTCAAAAATATAATATACTTCTTAGCCTTATTTTTATACCCTTGCAGGGTATTATAATTTTAGTCAACGCAGTGAAAGGAGTCACCTCCGACCATATAAAGTATATATATTCTTGATCAGCCGAGTCGATCTAACCATGACCGTCTGTCCGTCTGTCCGTTTCTACGCAAACTGGTCTCTCAGTTTTGAAGCTATCTGAATGAAACGTTGTACGTAGTCTTCTATATACTCTTACTCGTATATATGTCGGAACGGGCGGACTCGGACGACTATATCATATAGCTGCCATTGAACGATCGGGAAATGTTTAAAACAAAACTTATAAGTTTTACAGTTTTCAACAGAAATTGATCAAATTTGAGATACCCATTTTATATTCATATACAATTTGGTGTAAAATTTAATGGAAATCGGACTACTATATTATATAGCTGCCATAGGTACGATCGAGAAATTAATGGAAATAAAAATTAACTTTATCAGTTTTCAACAGAATTTTATAAAATTTGAGATATAGCCATTTTATATTATTCTAAAATGTTGTGTAACATTTTATGAAAATCGGACTTCATTATCACAAAGCTGCAATAGGAATGATCGAGAAAATAATACAAAATTAACTTTTTCAGTTTTCAACAGAATTCTATCAAATTTGAGATATAGTCATTTGAAATAATATTCTACAAATATGTGTAAAATTTTATGAAAATCGGATTACTATATCAAATAGCTGCCCCATAGGAACGATCGAGAAATTAATACAATTAAAAATTAACCTATTCAGTTTTCAACAGAATTTAAAAAAATTTTAGATATAGTCATTTTAAATAATATTCTACAAATATGTGTAAAATTTTATGAAAATCGGATTTCTAAATCAAATAACTGCCATGGGAACGATCGAAAAAATTAATACAATTAAAAATGAACTTTTCCAGTTTTCAACAGAAATTAATCAAATTTGATATATAGCAATTTTACAACACAAATTTGTGTAAAATTTTATAAAAATTGGAATACTATTTCATATAGCTGACATGGGAACGATCCAGAAATTAATACAATTAAAAATTAAATCAAATTTGAAATATAGTCATTTTATGTAATATTTAATATTTGTGTAAAATTTTATGAAAATCGGATTACTATTTTTCAATCACTATTTTCTTCAAAATTGAGACATATCCCCTTTTTAATTATTCTAGAATTTTGATTTTAATATTATGAAAATCGGACGACTATATCATCAAGCTTACGTTAGATAATGTAAAACTGTAAATACATTATATATAGCTAAAGAAATGAAAGCAGGTGTTACTTCATTGTTCTATCTGCAAGGGTATATACACTTCGGAGTGCCGAAGTTTGCTTCTTTTCTTGTTTTGTGTTGTATTATTGTTTAATTATTCTGTGTATAAAAATCTTTAGGATTAATGCAGCCCTGAACCCGACAGCATTAAATAACGCTGCTCAGGCGTTAAATACGGCAGCCCTCAACCCATCATCGCTACTAAGCGGGCAAAAGAAAGATCAAATCAATTTTTATGTGCCAAAAATGCAAAAAAAAACAGCAGCACCTTCGACTACCGACGATTTAAGGTTTTAACACGTAGATTTTTCTAATGTCTGCCTTTGGTTTATATTGCATTTTGTGTTTCTGCTAATAATTTATGCATTGTGCAGTACTGCATTTATTGCATTATGCATTGCTGCAAAAAACTTGCCAATAATACCGGCACATTCATAAATATGCCTTTTACCCAAGTTAATACCTAATTCTTAGTAGTTTTTAATATTTTAGTTTCAATATTTAACCAGAAAAAGATTAATTTGGTTCACGCACATATTCATGTAAAGAAATTTTCGAATATGTTAGTTTTTAAAACAGAAATAATTAAAAATAGTTTCACATGTCATTGCAAATTGGTATCGTATTGAAAGGAAGTTTAAATTAATAGTTTACATAAAGATGGATAGAGATAATATCTCGTCTTATACATACATATATATTTAAGGGCAGATGGCGAAGATGACGTGTTTTCTTTATCTTATTAGGGCTTCATTATACAGTTCACATTCCACATAATATTATGTTATTGCATTTATTATATGAATAACAACTTCATTGAATATATCGCACTGATAAATTATAAAGCCATTAAAAATAGATACAATTTGAATATTTTTTCGAACTCTATTTATAAGAAGCTTAAGCAAAATGGAAGCATGTGTCACATATCAATTATAAAATTATTTCCAAGTAAAGTCTTAACTAAAAAATATATATAGTCATAACTTTCCCCATCTTGTGTAAAGCAGTGCATTTTTTATATATTAGAAAGGGCTTAAAAAAGTAAATTACGTTTGCATATTGAGCTAGCTAAGTGCATTTTTAATATATCCTATATTATTTGTAAAATGTATTTACATATCTTTCTTGCCTCTATATATATATATATATATATATATATATATATACATATATATAAATCTAGAAATGGCTGTGCCACATCGGAGGATTTATTTTGGAAGCTCGACGCCTTGCAGTCGTTCATAAGAGACCTTCACTGGCCGGATGCGGAGTTTCGTCAGCATTTGGAACAGCGTTTAAAAATGATGGCCGTGGATATGATCGAACAGTGTATTCAACGCACGGATGCGTCCTTTCAATCGTGGCTAAAAAAGAATATTGCCTTTATATCAACTGATTATATTTTGCCATCGGAAATGTGCGCAATGGTTAATGTGATATTAGATGCTAAAAATCAAAGCTTTAACTTAACCACGATCGACGGCATTGATTTGGTAAGTAAAGAGGAAACAAATTATAAGAGTGAGTAATGACAGAAAATACTGGTTGCGTCAGGATGACAACATTATCACCGTTTAGGAATGCATCAATTATTAGTGATCAAGTGTGTTCTTCTGAATACTCGTGATACGCTGTCGTAAAAATAATCGGTGGGAACCCATCGATACCTTCTAGTTGTTCGCCAACATTCATTTGATTCAGCTTATAGCACGGTATGAAGAGGGTAAAACACCGTTATCAAGCAGTAACAGAGAGCGAGAGGCAAAAAGTTAAAAACGGCTGTTCATCAACGCCGTTTTAAAGGCCTGTACGGAGACACGAAATTTATAATACTAGAAAGTTGGATGGCGTTAGGAGATTCCCGACGGCACACTTTTAGTATTTTGCGAGGGGCTTGCAAGAAGAATACACATTTTAATAAAACAGGCTGTTCGCGACCATTTGCCTCTCGCTCTCACTTGCAGTTTCTTTGCAAATTTTAAATTATAGATCCCGCCATGAAAAAAATTTGTGGAAAATATAAATTCAGAAGTTCAGAAGAGCTTATACAGTTAATATAATTAAATTAGTAAAGGGAAATACAATATTTCGGGTTTTTGGTATATATATTATCTTGTAGGGAAGTTGGAAACCTTGAAGAGAAATATACAGAATAATATATATATATAAAATATATAGGCCAGCGAGAACAAACTGGGACAGCTCCACAGCTCGACTTGCCGATCTGAGAGATCTCGATGCTCCTGGAACAGATTATTAAACGCCAGACATTTGCCAGGTCAATATCATAGACCATATTGGATGTCATAGCTAGCTTCATCCTGCGACGATCCTGGCCGATGTTGTTGTATCTAGGGCGGTGCAAGCTTCTTGACCCGGCTCGGGCTCGTCGGGTAATGGGTGGTATTCATTGCCTTCCTAGATATTGACTATTAAACGAATCTCACAGTTAAATTTAATGCTTACTACGGCGAGATAAAATAGATAATTAAACAAACACATACACTGAGACAATAACTGGTAAACACACTTACGGGTCAGTTAGCTCGCTCCTGATGGAGTTGAAGCGGCTTTACCCTCCCTTCCGTGGTCATCTCATCCTAAATGCCATCTGAGCCCTAATCAAGGCATCCCTAAGGAAGGTTGGCTATCTGAAGGCAAATTGAAGACTGTTGTTTACCACATTATAAAAGTTTATTCCTTACGATCTAAAACTGACATATATGAAATTCCAAAATCTAAACTCCTTATCAAACAGGCACCATAAAACGTATATCAAAACTTAAACTATTTAGAAATTGAGCGACAATAATGGTGATCTTGAAAGCGATATAAACATAAACCAGGTGTCTTTTGCAAACATTCGAATTTATGAACTTAATCAATTTTTTTCAGTGTAGAGATCAAAAGCATAGGGGACAGATCGAGGCTCGCAAAGAGTTGTGAACATTTAAATTAGGCATCAGTTTTAGGCTCTTACATATAATTTGCCTTTCTTACTTTGATTCTGCATTCTTGGGTTTTTCTTTTAAACGAAATTGGAACTCAAACACTTGGTGGGCTTTATATGGCGCATTTGGGCCGTAATTTTAAATTGATGGCTTGGAGCCAGCACACTTACTCACTCGCCCAGTATTTATCCGCGAAAAAAGCGCTTTCCTGCGTAGAGTTTGTTGATGAGGAGGCTGCAAAGCAAAATTTACTCCTATCCTACAAAAAGTTTGGCCCTCTTCCTGAATGCTTAGATTTGGTTAGCCTATGTTAATACAAATTCTTTGTTAAGCTGCCAATATTTGTTTCGAGGCGATTGCGCCTGCTGCATCTTTTTTCAGCTCAACTCGGACATGTTAACATATGTGTAATAAATGCATTATTGCGGGAACTGAGGTATTCTCTATGGCCGTCGATTTACATATTGTCAGACCGCCGATTGAATTTGGTCGGAGATAAAAAAAATGACAAAAGAAACTAGCTGGCAGAACGCGGAAGCAAATGGAAATTCAATTGCTCCACTGCCTCTATATTAGTTCGCCCCTATGAAAAGGGGGGTGAAGATATCCGCTCCTTCTTTTCCATCCGACGCTAGTCGCCCTCGCTTGAAATTATACCACTTCTTCGTCTCTTCTGCTTTGGGCTAAGCTTCCTCAAGGACTGCCAATATTCCTAAACGAGTATTTGTTTAGCAGCGTGCCTATTTCAGAGCCTCTCGCTTACCAAAAGGTTTTTTTCCCCCGATCTTCCTGAGTGTCACTAACAACTTAAGAGTTTGTCTCCTGCAGCATCCAACTGCTCGGTTGCGAGGCCAGAATGGCACAGATGAACCAGCACGTTATGCCCTCAAACAAGAAGGACACGATCGACCCTCCCGAAGATACCAATTCTTCGGGTGAAAGCCGAAACCTTGGCCCTAAACTCTCTTAAAGTTAAATACCCTCCACAACCCTCCTTTGCCTACCGCCATGGGTCGCTTCACAACTCACTCACTGGCTCCTAGATTATATATGTATCCAAGCGCTACAATCCGAGACTGATCCGAAGAGTGGTCCGAGGGAGTATATAGGTATAGCGACTGGTGCCACCATGTTCTTTCGTGAACTGGACACCGATCCACCCGTATCACCATCTGAGTTCTCTTACAGGTATTCCAAATGGCGCCTGGAAGCTGTCCAAGGGAGGCGCTACTGCTAAAATGCACGTCAATTGCTTTGGCACAATTATTAAAAAAAAAACAATAAATGTTGAAATGGTCTTAAGATTCAAAAGAGCCAGGTCAACAAAGTATGACAGCAACATTATGCCTAGCATTGTTCTTCGGTTTGCTAAGGAAAGAACGTTAATTAGAAAGTTTGCATCCCAATTTAACCACCGTTAATTTGACCATCGTTTAATAAATCCAAGCACACCCCTGGCTCTATTATTCTATTAAGACGAAACAGTCAAGTCAATTTTAGGATCAAAAAGGATTAATTCTTTTTAAAGAGCTGCAGTTCAGCGTGTAAGTTGCAAGCTTGGGAACGACACTAGAAAATGTTATTTGCTTGCATTTAGAGCCGTTTAGTTTTAGTACAAAGGTACTCCGGATTTTGTCAAAACTTTGCGCAGGTCATTATAAATAATGTAAAAAAACTGTTTCAGAAGGGGATAGCACAGGGTGTCGGCACAATACCTGAGCACACAGCCAGAAATTTCGTCGGGCGAATAAACTGGCTTGACACGATTCAGATTTAAACAAAAAAGGAAGCTAAACTCGGCACGCCGGAGTTTATATATCCTTGCATATAGAACTTTGATGACTAGAAATCAATACAATATAAATGATATATGTTTATGTTAAAAATAGAAGTGAAGTAATACCTGCTTTCATTTCATTTACCTATAGAAATGATATTTACAGTTTTACATTCACAGATTTTAATTTTTATTTTATTTTATATAACGATCGTTTGTATGGCACTTATATGATATAATCGTCCGATTTTCATAAAATTTGTCACAAAATTTAAGACTAAAATAAAAAAGCTATTTTTCAAATTTGTGAAATATACTCAATTAAATACACAAATAAGAATAGCTGCATGCACACGCGAAGTAAATAGGAAGTTACTTTGGCTTATGCAAAGTTAAACACAAATAGAGCCGGAAGCAAAAAAAATCACGTCAGTTCATTTGGAAAGATAAAAAGAAGAATATCAAGCTCGTTTGACGAGGTGGGACCTACGAAGGTGTGGTCTTCCCCTACGTTTGGATGGACTTTAGTTCGGAAGTGGCATTGCCCGTGGCAATCCACGGGCTGAGCTGACGACTTCTTGACTATAACTGTCAGATCACCGTCGTCTTCCTTCGCTGATTCGTCCAGCGTCATTTCCTGGGCGGCGTCTATAATGGTGTCCAGACCCAGGCTCTTCTCCACCTCGCCTGCCTGCAGGGTGTATGCATCCTTGTCCCCGGGGTGGCGCTTCTTGAGACGCAGGTAGACGCCACCCATGCCCCACAACATCTTCCCGTATCTGGGCTAAGGATATCCTCGGCCTCCTTGTTGAACGGGAGGAATGCCCCCCCCCCCCCCTCTTTGGGTAGTGGACTATCAATGTGCAGTACCTTATACCTTCAGTCTACGGTAGGTACGACGGGGTTCTGTCACTGTAGCAGCTTTAGCGCCCGGTTGAGATCATGTGAGGAAGCTTGGCGTAGTGTAGTCTCTAGCCTGCAGAGACGCCCTGTCCAGGAGCGGGCTCTGGATCTTGAGAGCTGCCTTATACTGCGCCTTGGCCTTCAACGCCTCGTTTGACCTTTTCGGCCCGTCCCTGCGCTGGGAGCTGGTGCATGGTTTTGGGGAGCGGAAAAGACTGTCTTCCTCCTCTTTGGTGAGCTGAATGCTCTCGAGGACCGAGTCTGTGTCGACGACGGCAACCGTGCAGTTATGCCGCTGAGTCCTTGTGGTGGTGACAGTAGTTGCACTAGCTCGGAGGGAGGAAGCGACAATGCATTACCCATGGGGTAATATAATGCCCATTTCCCAGCCGGCGCCCCTCAGCTGAAATATTTTTGACCAACCGAAATTTTTGAATTAGTTTATAAAAAATGATAAAAAACGATTAGCTTGGTGTCAAGAAGTAATTTAATTCGATTCGAATTCAATTTTCTATTCCTCACGATTGTACTTAAAGACTAGCTTAACAACGGTTGGAGTAGGTGGGGCGAACTTGCAAAAAGCGAGAGGGAGAGAGCTTTATTTTGCTCCCGCCTTCACTCTAAACTTCAAATTATTAATTTTCAAAACATTTTTAACAAAAACAAACAAACTTCATAAAGCGAAAAAACGGGGTTCTCCCTAAATCGAAAGGAAATGACGAAAATGCTACATTTTCACTCACTATTTTCACAAGGGTATGTGCTCACCACAGAGTTCTTAGCAAGTATTTTTTTACAACGATGTCTTATACTCTGCGCGTCACCATATTAATTCTATGTCTATTGGACTTCAATTCGTATA